CAAAATATGTGGTCTTTTAAGAGATTATTGAAAGCCAGAAAAAAGCCATTCATTTATTCAAACCGCATATAAGTAGGGGGAATGTTTAGCTTGTTGGTCCTTTCCTAGAGTTTTAGACATCTAAGATTTAAAAATCACATTTATTGATTTCAGGGAAATTATTTTGCAAGTTGGATTAACATTCCCTGCATTTCTAATATCTCATAAATTACCATGTGAAAATAATTGTTTCTGTTGGATTACATTCCCTGTAAGCTTCCCTTCATACTATTTCTACTGTAGGCTGGGTTCTCCATCAGCAGTGTGTGTATCACATACTTTCAGAGCTAGATCTCAGTAGAGATGAAGGATATGATGGGAAAGGTTTATAAAAAGTATTTATTCAGCACATAGAATGTGACAGACTAAGACTAAAGAGTTAAGTTACTTGTTTCTCAGCCATATTTACAGTTCAGAAGTAAAATGAGAAGCAAAGAAAAAGCTGAAAAGGAACAATTTATAAGGAATACATTGAACCCTTTGGAATGTAAAAAGGGAATGCTACAGAAAAGTTATTTAGCTATTTACTGGGTTGTGATGTGACTTTTTCAAATTTTATTTGCTTTATTGCAAAATAATAGATTTTTTTTCCTTTTCCAACCCTGCATCCCTTCCCTTCTCTAACACAGGAACAGTTTTTAGCATTATGAAAGCACTTTTTATAGGAATTGAAGATATTGAATTTCTGGCTAGAATGCAAAATAGTTCAATATCCATTAATGCAGCATGTTTACCATTTCTCAGGAGACTTAGGGCCCTGATTTGGCTGAAGATTCTTGAAATAGAGGGTTACATTTCCCTTGGATAAATGAGAATGATTTCTCTAAGGAATGACTTGAAAATGAGAGAAGAGTGAAATTTATTCTGAAGACTTTTAGAACAGTTTTAACCACAATAAATCTGGTATGAATTAATAGAGTTTCTGGTGGTATCCTGGCCTTGGGGCATGATTGATTTTGTACTGAGGGAAAGGAGAGAAAGGTACTTCCTGCCCTCACTTTTGTTTATTTAAATTTCCAAGAGATGATTGATTAGCCATGGGCAAAAACAAATGAATCATAACTAGGGGGTAAACGTCCCAATTTCTTGCATTTGCTTAGAGAATGCTCTTGATGCATTCTCTGTGCTTTTCTCTTAGAGAAAAAATGCTACTTCCAATAAAACAATATTTAAATAAAATATTGACAGAAATCCCCCAAAGTCATATATTGAACTCTTACATAGCTTTTTCCAAATGCTGAATTAATATATTAACAGATATGGCAATGACAGAAATGGTTGCAGGCTGTGTCTCTTTTAAGACACTAAATATTTTCTGTATGATTCCATGTATTGCAGCAGGAAAAGTATGATGAAAAGGAGTAAAAAAAATCTTGACAGTTCACATGTTTGGAACTGCCTTAACAATATTTTTCTTCAAGCCTGGACAACTCAGTAGGAAGAAATGGGACATATACTGTATGCATAGTTATCTCTAGGCTGTGGCAGTAATCTTAACAGAATGAATATTTTATTCTCACACTTTTAAAGAATAGGCAACCAGAGGCAACACACAGAACATGAACTCCAAATTGGACTCCAAATTCATCTAGATTATTTTAATAAGTAAACTCTCACTGATTAGCAGAGGCTCAGCTTTGAGTGTTTTGCTGAGGTTTGGAGGTAGCATGATAGCATAGCTTCCAAATGTCTCCATCAGTATGAAAAAGCAGGATGGGTTCACACCTTCTGCCAAAAACTCAGAACTGCACTTTGGATGGCATGCAGGGAGGAGGCACTTCAAAAAGTAGGTTAAGCCAAGGCAAAGACATGAATGCATCCAGAAATAAAATCTGATTTAATGGAAAATTGCATTAACTTAAAGACAATCCATATGATTACTCTTGATGAATTTAAAGTAACACTCTTTGTAGCATTGGATTTTAGTTTACATCCCTTTGTCCCATAAGATCCAGTTCTCATCCTGGATCTGGTTACTGATCTGGTGTTATTCTATGCTTGAATGACTTCCTTTTAGTAGCTTCAGTTGATAGCCAGGTCATAATTGTTCATGTTCTAGTGTCTTAATCTTGGCAGTTTATTGGAGAGGTGGCTGCCTTTTTTACTGTTTAAAAATTGCAATTGACTTAGATTAGTATGGCAAGATTATAAATGCATATAGTGTTTTGACCACTTCACATCTGTGCTTTGTCAGCTCCCTATTCATTTCAATCTCACATTAAAAGGATTGATATTAACTCTTGAATTATTCCATAGAGCAGGTAACTAATTTTTAGTGGAATTCCAAAGAATGTTTTAATGAAATGAGTTGCCTGTTATTGTCTCTATAGACAAACACTGCGTTTTAAGTAAAGAATTACTTGAATCTCACATTTTAAATTTACCCAAATTATTATTTTCTCTTCCTTTGTGTGTTTTAACGTTGTGTTTATATTATTGAGCCACTAAGGCAACTTGGGCTGTCCGACTCTTACATAAAATAAGGAAGTGTACTCTCAGAGTTTGTAAAAAAAAAAAAAAAAGGAACAAGACTTACATTGCAGCCACATTCATCTTGGAAAAAATCTTTTAAGATCAGATAAATATTCAGGGAGGGTCTCAAGTCTTCATCAACTAGCCAGAGTTTGTGAATTTATGATTGTTAAAGTGATATTTAGACATCCATTGTTTTCATATTCACAAATTTTGACAGGATATGCAGCAGGATATGGCCAGTGTTCTATATTTATATTTTTATGTGTACAGATAAATGTGTGTCATATCAATGTTGTATGTAAATGGGGAACCACAAGTGTTTTTGTGTCAGAAAATATTTTGGCATATATCATATGGTACAGTACTTTTTCATTCCCTGCCTCCCACTCCAGAGAAACCTGAATGCAATCTTAATCAGTCTCTGGTTGTTATCTGAGCACAGTGTGGCAAGATAACTAAAGAGACGATCAGATATTCATTCCTTTGTGGGTTCATCAATGAAACATAGACAGTGGGAGCTGTCTCTTGTGTGGATGTCTTTCAGCTTCTTACACCTGACATCAATCCCTCTGTAACCTTTTATTTATATTCCTTTTATGGGACTAAAATCTGAGTGAAAGACATCAGATTGACATTCTTGAACACTGATGCCTTTTATCAAAGAGAATTAAAAAAAAAAAGATAGAGCTCTGCTGACTTGAATGCAGCCTTTTTCAGCATTGTGTCCTTAACCGTATATTGAAGTGGAGGGGTGAAAGTTCATTCTCTCTGTCACTTCATTCTTCTGTTAAGAATTGTGTCAGCAAGGATGCTATAAGAGCTTGATACAATCTTATCCTAGAATGTTTTTCTACAGGAGGGACGCTTGATTCTGAACACCTGAAATGGTCTGGAAATGGGGTAAAATGCATTGTGTAGCCTCAACTCTTTTTTTGAGTGCGTGTCTCTGTGTGCTCTGTTCTGATTTATAAAAAGCACTCACTTTCTATAGCAAGAGAAAATTAGAAATAGTTTTATTTCTCGACTGAAGTACTGGTGGTACAGTTATAAAGACAATCTATGTGCTGAAGATTTTTAAAAGTACGATATTTCTTCATGTTTCCTGGGAATGCATAGATTGAAGATGAACAAAATAGGTCTCTTAAAACAGATTTAACTAATTAATCAAGAAATTGAGAACTAGTAGTCTAGGCCATTCACAGTGTGATATTAATGGGTCTTAAAATTAATATTCAGGATGTACAATCAAGTCAAATGCTAATGCAAAAACAGCAAAACCATATTCAAATTCTTATTTTACTGGAGCCTCATATATTTCAAATATAATGTGGCTCTGGAAGATGATGTGAACAGACTGTTAGATCCTGAAGATACACTTTTACGTTTTCTTTAAAAGTAAGAAATACATCATCTTCCCAAGTCAAAACAACTAGGAATTCAGCTTGAGGTGTGAACTCTGTCTAAGTGTGTGTGTATGTGTATTGTTCTATCTTGAAAAGCTATGGGGATATTGTCCTACAATAACTGTGGTTAAATGTGGTTCTCCATAGTGAGGGGGAGGAGTATCCAGCATGGGTTGACTTTATCCTCTCGTTGATTGGACTGAGTCATCAGAGCTCTTGGTATAAGCCTCTGGTCCACCAGGCTCCGCCCAGTTTATAGACTCAGTCCACTCAAATGGACAGTTGACCATCCTAGATCTCCAACAGGTCGAAGATATTCAAGAAAGAAAAGGNAACAACCCTCTAAAAGATGCAAATGACCAGCTGTCTTCTAGGAATATAAATCTTCCCATTCCCCACTGTCCTGTTGGAGCTGAAGAAGCTTCTTGGATGAGAAGAGAAACATCTTCAAAGAAAAAACAAGAAAGTCTAACAGCCTCCTGAAAAAGCATCTTTGGGACAATCACAGTTTAATTCACGTTCTGCTTCAGAAAAACTGTTTGCACATCCTATTAACTGATAGATCAATATGTCTGGTTTTGCACAGTGAGCTAAAATATAAATCGTTTCCAAGCTGGAGTCTCTTTGACTCGTACAATGCAAGTGAAAGCTAATTGTATCTTGGCATGATATATACTTAGCTACCTCATACTTACATGTTCAACTACTGAGAAAATAGGATAATAGGTAGGGCTTTGCTCAATCCAGCACGACTCTTATTATATTTTCAATGTTGGATTTATTTGGTTATAATTCTGGGTGTAACATAACTCAGTGTTTACTTTTGGCTATTAGTCTTTGTGTGAAAAGAAAACATACATTCTAAATACTGCCTCAGTCCTTGGTTGCAGTTAGTAAAGTACCCTTGATCTGGGCTTTGAGAAAGTAAATGGCTTCTGAATTATAACTCAAAGCAAGTAGGGAAATGGTATGAATCCTTAGCTAATTTTTGAGACTTCTCAAAATCTACTAGTCTTGGTAGGGAAAATACAAAAGGAAGGAACCAATTGCATTTTCTTTTCTCCACTTGTTCTCCTCCTGCAGGTGGATCTTAATAAGGATCGGCTGGTGACCCTGGATGAGTTTGTTAAATCCACTCAGAGGAAGGAATTCAATGAAGCTGATGGATGGGAGGTGTGTGAAACAACACTATCAATTGATGTGGAATTTCAAATGTTGGTCTGAAGAGTGGAAAAAACATTTTGCTAGCAGCAAGTGGTTAAGATTCCCACCCACCCACCCACCCAGCAATTACACATACCCATTTTTTGGACTTCAACTCCCATATTTCCTGATTAGTATAACTTTACAGAAGTGCGTTGAATTCCAGCATACTGAAAGAACTCTAAGTTGGGATAGGCTGTGATAAACTTTCTCCCTCTGCAACCAGAGATTGTCATCTGAAAACTTGTTAGAGAAGCTAATAGCACTTCTGTGATAATCTGGCTTGGGAATTCTGGGGGTTGAAGTCTAGCCATCTTAAAGCTGCTGAGGTTGAGAAACATTTTTCTACCTCCAAAAGGCACCAAACATACTAATTCAGGAGGCAGCTCTTGGTGGCTGCTAGTCTTAATAGCTCTGGTTGTAGCAGCAAAGGCTAGAGGCCTCTGAATATTTAAAGCCGAGGTGGCACAGTGGTTAAATGCAGCACTGCAGGCTACTTCAGCTGACTGCAGTTCTGCAGTTCGGCTGTTCAAATCTCACCGGCTCAGGGTTGACTCAGCCTTCCATCCTTCCAAGATGGGTAAAATGAGGACCTGGCTGTTGTTGGGGGCAATATGCTGACTCTGTAAACCGCTTAGAGAGGGCTGAAAGCCCTATGAAGCGGTATATAAGTCTAACTGCTATTGCTATTGCTATCCGTAATGGAAAGAT